AGCCAGGTAAGTTGCAGAGCTTCCCCCCCCCCCCAGTCCAAACAGTCCAGTGGCACCTTCAAGACCAAGTTTTATTCAGGTCCAAGCTCTCCCTCCTCTGCGAGGACAGATCTGCATGTTCCCCCCCCCAATAGCTAGCAATCCCAAACAGTCCAGTGGAGCCTGAGCGGTGGGTGTTGTCTTCTGACACACTTCCGGTGATGTCAGGGGGTGTGGCATATGCAAATAAGTTATGCCAATGAGTTATGAACTCCTGCACCTTTTTCTACGAAATGACCCCTGGTTTGACTGCCCTAAAGAGAGTTGCTCTGATCTAAACCCCTCAATTTCAGTGGACTCAAACCGGAATAACTCTGTCGGGGAGTGCACACTGAGGCTCCCAGGTACAAGAGCTGGGATGAAATCCCCAAGATGAGTAGGGATGCCAGCTCTGGGTTGGGAAATTCCTGGAGATTTTGGAGGCAGAGCCTGGGGGAGGCAGCTCAGCAGGGTACACGCCCACACAGAGTCCACCCTCCAAAGCAGCCATTTTTCTCCAGGGGAACTGATCGTGGCCATACGGAGAGCAATTCTAATCGTGGGAGATCTCCAGGTGACGCCTGGAGGTTGGCAACCTTAAATGAGGAAAGCACTCTTTCGAGAAAGTGGCTCAGAGATCAAACAGAAGCAACCAGCAGCTAGATGGACCTTGGATTCCTCTCGATGGGCCGAGAGTGTTGCCTGACGAAGGGGACCCCAGATATCCGCCAGCACCCTTCCCACATTCCACGCATGGTAACAGTTAAGGAAAACCACAGAGTTCAGGGCCGTTCCCCTCCACAATGCGCTCCCTCTTTCCCCAGTGACAAGAACCAGAGAGCCCCCCTCCTCCCCTACACGGCTGCCAAACTTCCTGAGGAGGGGTCTCCGCTGCTGCTCCCAGGTTACATGATCGGGGTCAGAGCGAGGGACCTCAGCGGCAGCATTCATTTCCTGAACGAGGCGAGTTCTCTCGGCCATAAAGCTAATAAGAACTTCCTCGCATGGCGAGGCCCGATTGACAGAGCTACTTGTCAGTGACCGCGGAGTGGGAGAACGCTGGTTTCCATTAACGGGTTACGATGCCAGGTGCCACTAATAAGGTCCATCGGCAAGAAACAAGAGACCCCAAAGCTGGCCTGGTAACTCTGGAAGTAATCATTGTCAGGACCAGGGCAGGGGGGGGGAGAAAAGAGGGGTAGGAGAAAGGGAAGAGAGAAATGGGGAATTTCAGGCTGCAGAGAATTCCAAAGTGCAGAAAACACATCACGATTAACGCGGCTGTCGAAAAAGCACCAAAAGTGCAACAGGTCAGTGACAGCTGCACTCATCTCATCCACTGAACGAGGATCGATACCCAGGCAACATGACCAGATGGCATTTATGCAGTACCAAAAAAGAGAGAGAGAGTTAAATTAACTTTGAAACAAGGAGTGGAGGTGAGTGGACCAAAGGAGTAACTGCCCACGAATCCGGCACCATTTATTTCAACAGAAGAGACTTAATTCTCCCCCAAGTAATTCAAAGTGCTGAACTTGGGGAAAGACTGGGTCCCTGCTTCTTGGATGGTGGGCAGCTCTCTCATTAATATCGCCGTATTTAAGCATGTTTGAACGGCGGGGCTTCCCGCCCACCCCTCCCAACGCGCAATTAGAAGCCAAAATCAATACCGACATCAGATTAAGTATGAACTTCCTGAACCTAGAAGGAAACCTTCTGTTTTAAACAAATGTACAGTTGCAAACTCCATGCACGCTCAATTAGTCAAAAACTTAAGTGCCGTTTAAAAAAATTAAAACGAGGAGGGGAAAACTGCACTTCTTTAGGCGTTTCGATGCCCTTAATCAAAACGCAGCTCAGCTGGAATGTTAGACCTGTATTAATACAGAGAGCTTTTTGCTTTGCGGAAGGTCAAGAATACCAGCTCTCATTTCAAAAGACAAAAAACGGTGGACAAGAAAGCTTCCGCAGAGACGAAGGCCTCCACTCTCAAGATCTCTCCCTGCAACATCCCTAGGAAAATAAAGCCTGTCCCTCGCTCTCTTTCATTCACCCCACCAAGCTTGTGCTCTGCCCTCCACAGCCTTAGAAACCACATCTTGCATACAGTAAATACCAGTTAGCATTGACATTTACCAATAATGCCAAATGTCATTTTTCTAAGGCCAGTGTGAAGTGTCAAAAACGATCATCCACCTATGGCTGAAGCCCAAATTAAATCCTCACCACGTTTTCCACTAATTTCTTCTCAGTTCCTGGCATTCCTCCGCCACCGTTGAGAAATAAAGTTAACATTTACCAGTAAGTTATGGAAAGGAGGAAAACGCTGGCCCATTAATGGGAGGGATTGGGACAGTCCCGAGACTGATTCACAAACATCACATAAACGTTCCCCAAACGAAAGCCACGTCATACCTTTTATTCACCTAAGGTGCTTGATACATGTACCAGCATTGCTTCATCAATGGCAATATTTTCAGGCCAATGAAGACGAAATCAGGTCACAAGCATCATTTCCATTCGCTTCTGAGGATGCTGAGAATTACCAGTCAATGCGAACACTCACCAAGTTTCTAAAGTTTACTAGAACACAGATTACTCTGATAATTTCTATCCATGTGTCATTTCACCAGGAAGTCCTTTGGATCAGAGGGCGACAGAATTAAGCCCTGCAACTATATTTTGATGCTTCGACCTTTTACAGCAATTGATATCTGGGTTGCAGAACCTTTGGTTTCACCCAGGAGTCCACTGACCATTGTTGACTGTGGTTCAGGAGCCTGGGCACACTGCGCACTGGGGGTGGGGTAGGGTTTAATTACACAGGGCCAAATGCATCAAAGGTTAGCTGCTCAGACCGAAGAATGCTGAGGCAGAATGGGCTGTCCCACTGCGGGTAGCTGCGACACTGGCCACATATCTAATGGGTTCCCACCAATGCTCCCTCTAAGCTGTGGAGTCTTGTGAGCAAAAATTCTACTTTGTGAGCTACTGGCATTAAAGTTGTGAGCCAGCGATTTGGCTACTGCATCAATTAGTTTGTCTGAAGCCATCCTTCCTGAGCTAAGACAAAAATGTGTGCGCCAGAGGCGAAAAAACTGTGAGCTAGCTCACACTAACTCAGCTTAGAGGGAACACTGGTATCCCATATTTAAAAAAACAAAAACAAATACCCTTTCACAGAGAGAGAGGTACCAGTCCAGCTGTGCTAGTTCCTCATTTACAGGGAACTACTGATCCAGAGGAATGTTGACAATGGTGAAAGAGAGCCACCAGCGTGGTGCCGTGGATGAAGGGGCAGACAAGAAGAGGAAGGATTGCATTTATACCCAGCCCTTCACTACCCAAAGGTGTCTCAGAGCAGCTCACAAACTCCTTTCCCTTCCTCTCCCCACAACAGACACCCTGTGAGGTAGGTGGGGCTGAGAGAGCTCTTGACAGAAACTGCTCTCTTTCAAGAACAGCTCTTAATAGAGCTACGGCTTGCCCAAGGTCATCCAGCCAGGTGCAAGTGGAGGAGCGGGGAAACAAACCCGGTTCTCCCAGATTAGAGTCCACGCACTTAACCACTACACCAAACTGACAAGGACCCTAGGTCTGAAGCTCCGCTTGCATTGTGGAAGCTCACTGGGTGACCTGGGGTCCCTCACAAACTCTCAGCCTGGCCTACCTCGCAGGGTTGTTGTGGGGTGAAATGGAGGCAGGGAGAACAATGTTCTAAAAGCTGCTCGAGCCCCAACCAGGGAGAAAAACAGGATATAAACAAGCACATATGCAAACGCATCCTCCCTGAAGCGGAACTGTAGTTCTCACCTCCTTAGCCCTCTGCCGTTGCTTGCCCACCTCACCTGGCTGTGTGCCAAGGCCAGGTCTGGGGCCCACTCAGGCATGTGGGGCTCCAGACAGTCACCGCCCCCTTTGTTTCCATCCGCCTCGGCCATGATGAATTAGTGCTAGACTGTGCCCACCAATGGTAAGCCAGGCCATTTCTTAGACAGGCCACGTCTGTGGGCTTATCTCCCAGAGCCAACTTTTCTCCCCTCAAGAAAAGTAACTATAATGCATTAAAAATACCAGAATTACTTATTTTTGATTGCCACAGGTGTTGCTTCATGTCTGTCAAGGGAGAAAACATGACAGCCATTAAAAAAACGCTATTCAAGTTTCTACTTTCATACTCATAATTTGGAACAATCAGGGGAAATTCTAATTGGACAAAAAAACGGCTGCAATGCAAAGACTGTCGATCAACTTTGCCAAGATCTAACTGGTTCAGTGCTAAAAAAATTCCCACACAATCTCCACCCTGTTGCACTCCTGGCTAGACTGAGCACCGCAGCAAGCGTGGGTCAGAGTTTATCCCTCCGCACTGAGAGATTGTGTGGGATTAGCAGCCACACTGAAAGTTCAAGATCACACGTTGCGCCGCAACTCTGCAGTAGCCAGAATATGATTCACAATTCCTGCAAAACTTGAGACACGCAAAACACCATTCAGTATTCTGGGTCTGTTTCCCGTTGCATGCAGGCATTTGCATTTATGGATTTATATCCCGCTTTCCTCCTGGATGGGGACTCAAAGCGGCTTAAGAACATTGTTCTCCCCTACTTAGTTTTCTCACAACCACCACCCTGCAAGGCAAGTTCAGCTGAGAGAATGTGACCGGCCCAAGGTCACCCAGCGAGCTTCTACAGTGGAAGTGAGATTCAAACCCGGGTCTCTCGGAATCCTCTTCTGACACCCAAGCCACTATGCCATGCCAGCTATCGTTCTGCTACGACAGACTCACATGACTACCTTTCTGCAGCCTCCGGTGTGTGTGCGTGCCATTCTCTCTTGCTTCCCAAACCACCCAATAAAGTCAGCCGAGAGTATTCCCATTGTTCTGGGGAGAAACAGAGCCTGAGAAATAGCCATTGGCCCAAGGACACCCTAGACCAGGGGTGGCCAAACTTGCTCAACGTAAGAGCCACATAGAATAAACGTCAGATGTTTGAGAGCCGCAAGACATGAACAAATATTACACGCATGTTTTAATTGAAAAAATGCAAATTTGCTTTTATTAATATTAAATTGATAACTTTAGATGGGGGGGGAGGGGAGAAAGAGAGAGAGGAAGAAAGGTGGAAAGAAAGTGGAAAGAAAGCAAAAAGATAGAGGAGGGAGGGAGAGGTGAAAAGAAAGGAACTTTAACATTAAATGTGTCCTCCAAGCCCCCCCTCCCACACACACACTGGCTTGGAGAAGGGATTTAAAGAGACAAATGCCTTCTCCAACGGGTTGGGGGGGGGGGGCCTTTGAGAATGCATTTAAAGTTCAAGTTGCTTTCTGTCTCTGCACTGACTGGGGAAGGGAAGACCAATTGGGGAGGCATGCCTCCCCTTTGCATCCCCAGCTACTGTAGCGGGAGCCGCACAATATGTGTGAAAGAGCCGCATGTGGCTCCTGAGCCACAGTTTGGCCACCCCTGGGCTAGACCGACAGCTGGCGCATCCCACTTAATGCCTGCCCACCACAAGACACACAGCTTTCCACTAATCAATTCTTTAAAACATTTCTTTCCTGCTTTGCCCCCAGAGAGGTTTCCCAAGGCATGACAAAAGCTCAATACTTTTCACCAGACGCATGCCTGAGAGGATAACAAAACAGAGCGGCTAGGGGAGGCTGCCAAGATGCATCCAACTTTCTCCCTGAATTTTGGAGTGTTGAACCACATGGTCTTGTCTTGCCAAGTTTCTGACCCAATGCCTTAGGAAGCCAGCATGGCAGTGCCCTTTCATTTCCAAAATTGTTCAACAGCGTACAGTGCCCCAGGTCTCCTGCCCTTTGCCACGGGCACCGGGGTGCACTTTCCCATTGATAAAACACAGCAAAAAAAAGTGGTCTGGATGCTACTTAAGGGACAGCCACGTCAAGATTATTTTGCTGCAAGGTTTCAACAACACACAGACTGCATGTCCTCATCGGCAAAGCACAGCACACAATGAATCTGGACCCCATCGCGCTTCATCTGCCACCCAGACTGCTTAGTTGCAGTGTGTTATCGCTGCACACAAGAGCGTCAGTAATGTAATGGCGGGCAGAGACACAGGTGAACTCGAAGTGGCGGCAAACCATCCCTTCTCCGTCTCCAAATCCAGAATTCATCCGGAATGAAAGAGGAGTGAAATGCAGCTCAAAGAGAAACGTCAAAATAAAGGAATAAAATTCATTCTTCTCTGCCCTCCAGGCATCATCTGGAGACCGGTTGTTCTGACCGGAGACAGCCTTCACACACTTGCTTTTAAAAGGGATCGATACCTGGTCTCTTTGGGTTAAGGCCAACTCAAAAATGGCTCGAGCAGTCCCGCATTCTTGTTCACCTTCCATCTCACTTAAGCGACAAAGGGAGTGTTGACTCTCGAAAGCCTAAAAATCTTCTTGTCTCTAAGGCACTGCTGGATTCAGATCTACTTGTCTGCCCTCTGGAGCTATCTCACTTAAATGTCATCGTCATCGTTTGACATGAAAGCTCACACCCTGAATAAAACTTTGTTGGCCTTAAAGGTGCCGCTGGACTCAAATTTTGTTCTAATCCTAAAAAAGCTTTTCTAGGAATAAGCCCCTCTGAATACACTCCCCCCCCCGTTTTATTTGGCAATGCATATAAATTCATTACACAAGTGTAAGCACATCATCGGAACCTCCAAATTTTAACCAAAAAAAAAAGAAGGAAAGAAAATACAGGGTTAAGCCAAGATTAGGGGGGGGGAATCACATCTTTGTCAACTGGATTATTCAAAGCAATATCCTGTCCAAGCACAAATTGGATCAGTGGGAACCAAGTTGCCACAAAACTATCGTGGACTTTCTCTTAGTATGATTGGATAGTGCCAACAGTAATCCGCGCCATCATAAAATAAGACCATATATGATTAAACCAAGAATCAATGTGGGGTGGCAAAGGATTTTTTCCAGTAAGCAGCAACAGTATTTCTCGCTGTGGAAAGTAAAATGGAAATTAACTCATTATGTTTTTTTGTTACCTGTGAGCAATGCTGACTCTAAGCTGTGGAGTCCTGCGAGCAAAAATTCTACTTTGTGAGCTACTGGCATTAAAGTTGTGAGCAATGTTCCCTCTAAGCTATGGAGCCCTGTGAGCAAAAATTCTCCTTTGTGAGCTATTGGCATTAAAGTTGTGAGCAGGAGATTTGGCTGCTGCATAAATTAGTTGGCTCTGAAGCCCTCCTTCCCGAGCCGAGACAAAAATGCATGAGCCAGAGGCTAAAAAACTGTGAGCTAGCTCACACTGACTCAGCTTAGAGGGAACACTGGTTGTGAGTGAGCAGTTTGGCTACTGCATAAATTAGTTTGCTCTGGAGCCATGAAAATGTGTGAGCCAGAGGCCAAAAATCTGTGAGCTTGTTCACACTAACTCAGCTTAGAGGGAACACTGCCTGTGAGGGGATTTTGATATTCTAACAAGAAGATATCAGGTAGAAAATTTAATTTTACACCCATAATTAAAATAAATATGTAGATGAACCTGTTTTCAAAAGGACAGAAGGATTGGGGCAAGACCACCACATGTGGAAAAAGTCACCCAAATGACCACACACCCTGCCCCTCTGAATACATGGGAGTAGGATTCTAACTGGGACTCTTTTATCTCTTTAAAAGGCACCAACCTAGGCACACTTAGAGGGAAGAACACCACACCACACTCAGATCTGTCTCTGAACTCACAAACATAACAGGGCCATATGATCTTGTGCATATCCTTACAGTGCTCGGGGAATTATAGGAGTGGGCTCACTCCTGTAGATGGTGTAACCCTCGGCACCTGACTGGCGTTCAGCAAATCTTTCATAGCACTTGTCGGGCTGAACATCCCCTAAATCCTTTCCAGGCAAATCAGGTAACTTTTTTTTTCGATTCTGTGACACTCTCTCCACCCCCACCCCCAACGGGGTGCCGCATTCTTTCAAACAAACAAAAGAGGCAGTCCAGCTTTTCCTCTACTGAAGTGTGAGACGGGAATGATTCTCCAAGACAGATCTGACAGATATTTGCATGCAGAAAACTACCGAATCAGGGAAAGGGCTATGCCAGAGCCCTTCCCCCTGGCATGCTAACTTTCTGCAAGCAAGGAGTTTTGCTCTCGCTGTGGAGGAGTGTTCGGCTGTGTGAGCTGCCCAGCTGCAAGGTCCGGAGACACTTGAGCAAAGAGCAGCACACGCCCGCCTGTCTGCTGTTTGGCAGAACAAGATTCAGAACAACCCAGAGAATCCAATGAGGTGCTCCATTTTTAAACCAGTAACAAAAATTACTCAGCCACCAGAGTAACACATCGGTATTGTGTTTTGTTTTGTTTTTTTTAAAAAAAAATACCGGGGGAGGGGGTATTCAGGCCGGCCTACATCCGGGCGGAAGGAACATCGCTCATCAGCCACACGTATTGTTTCTAGAAGCTGCCGGTCAAAACCGGCCATCAGACTTCTGACGGAATATACAATCCTCCGTCTCACGCACACACGCAAGCTGCCTGGGTATACTATGCACAACGGCACTGCCGTAATTAAACGTGTTGGTTCATTAAAACACTTCAGGGCATCTCTGACACGGTTGCGTTGAATCACGATTAGCAGCCTGCCTCGTAATATGTTTGCACAGTATTAGACACACGAGAAATATTTCTTAACTCTATCTATCCAAAGCAAATGTTTGCACACGGCTAAACCGATGCTCTCGCTGACACACAAGAAGTAGTTTTGGTTTTCAGTTCTTGCAGGCAGAGTTAAGCAGCTGGCTGCGGGGGGGGGGGGGGGGGGGGGACCTTTTTCCCCTGCAAGATAGAACCAAAGATCCCCCAGATCAATTTACAAGGCTGGTCGCTCCTAGCTCAGACGAGCAAAGCCATTAGAAACAGACTCCCAAAGCAACCACTCACATTTAAAAAAAAATGATATGTTTGTCGCAAGGCAAAGCTTTTCTGGAATTATTCTGAGTTTGTCCCCAAAGGTACCAGGAGACGTTTGTTCAAAACAACAACAGCACAGAGACCAATTTCACTCAGGACTGGAAATAATTTCTTCGCTAAGCTGACGTGGAGATCTTTCATCCCAATAATTTAGAGTGCTGCCCGATCTCAAAGAGCGCACACGGACAACCACGTTTTGGTTAAAAATAAAAACTAGAAATCTATATACGTCTCTCAATTAAACCAGTGCAGTTCAAAACAATGCTCAGACATGCCAGGGGGAATAACCAAAATTCTGCATACTGCCCTGCACAGAACCACAGAAATGCTGAATAGGTTGATGAATTCATTGTGGGAAGGGGGTGGGTGGGAGAGGCCTATATCGGCAGACCGCCGGAGTGAATAGCAGCATCACTTTCCAGGGCGAGAGTCACAGCAACAGGTCGGGAAGATGGAGATGCAAACTGGGTATTCACGACACAGCAGAAAGAGTGCATTAGTGTCAACAACCCAATACCAAACAGAATAGCTCCACAAACATGTGCTTGTACGTCGGGGAGAAACCTATCAAGACAATGGTCCCGTTCATTTGTTGTAAGAAAGAGCCAATGAAAACATTACCAGTGAAAACAAGAACCAGTACCTGGATAGTTTGGTAATACAGGCATCACACATAATGTGAGAATTACTTGATTCCAGTCCAGGAGCACCTGAAAATCCCATAGGATTGTCAGGGAATGAGCTTCCGGGAGTCGAAGCAGTCCCTTCATCAAACACCCCCAAAAATCTTGTTGGTCTCCTAGACTCAATCCAGCAGTTTCACTACAGACCAGCTGTGCACTGAAAACAATGAGAACTACTGAACACACTTATTAAAAAAAACCTTCAAGTGTACACTGTACAGAGACTGCACGTGCATTTACTGTAAACATGTGAAGCGTGGAATCACAGATACCAAACCAGCAGCTCAAGAATTCACCCATGAGACTCAGTACTCAGATGGCTTTCGGCTGAAATGGGGCCGCTACCCACATAAGGCAACGGGGCATGCCTCCGGGAGATGGCCATGTGAGCACGGAGTCCCATGGACCAGATCATTCGCCTGACCCGCATCACCCCGAAACCAGGCCTTCGTCGGGAGGTGCTCCTTCGAAAATTGTCATGAAGGTAACAGAAGCCTGTTTGGCAAACGTTGATGGTGTAAACAAGGCCTGGGTTGGGTAGCCACACCCCTGCACGCAGGTTGACAGGACAGCCTTTGAGACTTGGAAGAAATGTGCTCCTGTATGCTGCGAGGGGTTCCAAAACAGCCCCCCCTTTCCCTTCACAGTCAGGAGCCCAGCTGACAGAAAAGCGAGAGGCCAAAAGGAGCAGTTTTCTAGGCGGCAGCTGAGTCCCGATCACCAGGGAAGAATTCATCTGGCCGCCCTCCCTCCGTCGGAGACCGCGTGGACACATTTGGGCATCAAATGCCACACAAGCCCCCCACCCTCAAGTCTGCGGTCACCAGCCCAGGCCTCCTCTTTCTAGCTTTTGTCTCCCACTTGAAAGACCAGCTTCCCAAGATGTGCTTGGTACAATTCGACACCCCGACGCGATATCTGCGGGACAAACAGGCCTACCACAAGGAAACCTGGGTTTTGCCCAGTGAGGACTAGCGGATACGGAAGAAGGTCTTTGAGAGACTGGGGGGAGGCAGCAAATGAAAGTGACCACAGTCAAAAAAAAGAAAGCAAGGCCAGGGGTCGGGCCAAGAGCAAGTGGAGAAGGCACGTACCTGTGTTGTTCCACCGTCTCATTGTCGGGCAGCTCCGCCCCACAGACGCTGCAGTGCTCCCCCAGGGCTCGGGCCTCGGTCTTGATCCCCACCGCCAGTTCCCCGAGCTTGCTGAACAGCTCCCTCTGAATGAAGCCCTGGGGCAGGAGGCCCCCGTAGGCACTGAAGTCCATGGAGACGGCAAGGGCTGGCTGCATGTGCAGCCCGGGCACCATGGAGGCGGGGATGCTGAGCATGGAGTCACTTTTGTGGTTCGGGAGCACCGAATAGAGGCCCATCGGCTTCTCGCCGTGAGACACCATCAGCTCTGGCCCGACCGGCGTGCCCGGGATGGCCTCTGGGGGCTGCTCCACATTCTCGTCCCGGGTGTAGTGAAGCTCGCGGGCACTGGTGATGACGCTGCTGCGGGTCGGGGTGCCGGGTCCCTGCTTACCCTTGTCGTCGGCCTTGTCCCCGGCGGAAGTGCCCAGGTCGGCCGTCCTGGGGCTCTCGTGGCTCAAGGTCTCCTCCACCTGCATGGCTTCGGTTTTCACTTCGGACACGCTCGGGCGGCGTCCGCTGGCCGCGTGGGAGTCCTCGAGGGCGTTCTGCTGCAGAGCCCCTTGCAGCAACGACTGGCCGATGGACATCAAGCTGTCCACGGCCGCCTTCGTGGGACTCATGGCGGACAGCCCGAAGGAGGTGGAGACGGAAGGGCTCTGCTCCACCATCGTCCCCGTCAAGCCCTGGCTGGCCAGGCTAGAGTAGCCGCTCTCTTCACTGGAATGCTTCGAGATGAGAATATTCTTCACGTATTTGGGCTTCCGCTCCTCCTCCTCTTCGGCGGCGCCGTCGGCCATGTTGACCTCAGTGTCGTTGTCTTCGGAGGCCTGGATGGTCTCCAAGATCTTCAAGCACTGCTCCTCCAGGTACTCGATCTCCAGGATCTCAGCGGCGTACAGGAGGTCATCCAAGTCCTCCACTTTCGCCTGCAAGGTGGCAGTGTAGGCGTACTCCAGGATCTGCTGGAAAGTCTTTGGCGAGAGAAAGTCCAAGGTGTAATGCTGACTGTTGCGGTGGAACAGGATCTCAAACATCTTACTAGTGCAGGCCAACACGGTCCGGTGAGCGTGGAACTCCTGGCTGTCCACCAGGATCACCACGTCACACAAGGTCCCCGCCAGGCGCATCTGGTTGGCTTTCTGCAGGAGGCCCGTGGCGTGGCTGGGGTTCTGGAGCTGTATCAGACCCATTTTAGTCAAATCCATAATGCTCCCAGGGTCTAGGCATCAGGGAGTCCTGCCGCTGGACTGGCTGGAGCGGGCGTCTTTGCGGCTCAGATCTCTGCACGAGAGGAAGAGAAAAGACACCTTGAAACAGGCACCTATCGAGAGCCAGGCATCTCTGGGAAGCTGGCGGGAGGGACCCAGGAAGCCGAGCAAAGACTATTTTTAAAAGTCGAGGCCAATTTTTTAAAAAAATCACAATAGTTTTAAAAAGCAGGGGAAAGGGGGCGGGGGGTGTTAACAGAGGGGGGCAGAATGCCCCATCTGGCTTTGCCCAACAAACCGCCCTTTGACATAGAGATGTTGAAGAGGGAAGGGGGAAAGGAAAGGCAGCCTGAGACCCCCCTACCGCCGCCCAGAAGAGGGGCAGGCCACCCCACCCGAGAGCAAACCACCCCACCAGAGCCCCAGGCCCGACCCACAGCTCACAGAGGCCTCCCTTTCAATGCGCACACCTCCCAAGGGTGCAGCCGAGTGGCATACAGAACACAGCTGGCATGCCAGGGACTACGAGCTGATTCAGACACCCGAAGAGCCCAATTCGGCCACCCAAACTCCAAAAAAGTCTGCAGCTCCACCTTCCCCCACCCCAGCGTGCCCTGACACCGCCACTAGGCAAATGGCCGGGCTGGGGGGGGGGAAGCTTGGTTCCCTCCCTCCCCCTCCCCAGAGGCGCACCAGGCTTCCGTCCAGCCATGGCAGCACTCAACTCCGGGGGGGGGGGGGGGGGGAAAAAACTTTTGGAGGGGATAAAAGCTTCTTCTCCCCAGCAAGTTTGACACGCGAAGGTGCCAAAGGGAAGACCGATCGCCAGCCGCAGAGCTTTATACCGAATACTCCGACCCCCAATCCCTCCCTGCCCGACTCTGAAGACCCCTCCCTCCTCCCCGTTTTCTGCCGTCAATGCAACGGCTGTTGGAGCCGGGGCCACTCACTCACACACACACACACCCAACGCTCCGTGGAGAGCCCCATTTCTGCAGGGCTGACCTTGCCCCCTGGATCTCCCCCCCCCCCCACACACACACACACTGGGCTCTTCTCCCGCTGCTCGTCGTCGTCGCCCAAGCCCAGCCTGAAGGAAAGCGCCGCTCCCGTGCCCGGGGGGAGAGCCAGAGAGGCCTCGATTCAGCACGTGCAG